TTGTCACGTGATCTGCTCAAGAGGTGTGTTATACTTTTTATCATACATATCTTAGTACGTGTGAAGGCACTTGAAAGATATTCAATCGCCAATAAATCGATTACAGGAGATTAAACGTGAATGTCAGCTTGATACCGTTGGGTCATAAGGTGATATTTTAGGAAACTTTCCCATATTCATTCATAAAAGAGATATGCTACAGTTTTTCAGCTTACATTCTTTGGTTATATACATAAAAAATATTTCAATTATATAACGTAGACCAATAGCGTAATTTACCCGTAATATCTTATTTGACAAGAGATTAGATAAACGAGAATATAACTAAAACGACATATACTTAACATAGCAGAATTTGTACAATCCTATAGATATATTATGTTGGTATGAACAGCCCATATCCTGTATTCACCTGTCCTATACGTGACCAAGTGTCCTTAACTTTTTGTTTTCTTTTTTAATGTATTGAAATCCTGTATCCTTCTTGTGCCCTGTAATAACATTATGACAAGAAATAACGACGGAGACATTCGTAACAATTACAATGCACATAACCCCCACCCCCCTTATACCCGTCCCCACACAAAGAGATAAATACCTACATATCGGTTTGTTCCTTTGACGGTAACCATGGAATAGTTTACTTACTGGAATTTACTGGGAGCGTTTTTAACATACTATATTTGAAACCCAAGAGTTCCCGATTTCGATACCTTTGATAAAAACAAAAGGACATATTCAGTAGCCAAACCAAATCGACCTCACCATTAGCCCATACCAAAGGTCATTTTGAGACAAAGTTCCCGGATGATTGGGACTTAAGTAGTCTAAGATTTTCCGTCTCCGTGACTCGTTCTATGATAGGCGTTGTAACATCGACAAACGTCACTGTGGATTACCAGAAATGAGAGCTTACCCAACTTATTCAATTGCACCGGTTCCGCTGTAAACATGTACGAGACCGGAAGTCGTGAATTTGAGTCTTTTCGGCATTAAGCAGACCAATGCTTAAGATTTCTTTAATCAGCAGCTAGAAATTAAGTTTTCCATGGAACACATGCTATTACCTGCGAAACAGTTCTGATTTGACCATATTTCGCACAAAATAACGATAAAAATTGTATAAGTATTGGCAGTGTTTTAAACAATAAGGTGTTACAGTTCAATATCAAGGTTGACGTTATGAGTGCATTCAGGAAGGACGTTATATCACTCCAATGTATGCGTGTCGGTCTCTCTTAACGCGGAAATGACAGAACTTCATTGGGTCCGAGCGTGCAACAACTCCGTGTACGGCCGTAACAGTGGACCTCGGTGTCCGGCCGTAACAGTGGAGCAGCTCGGTGTTCGGCCTTAACAGTGGACCTCGGTGTCCGGCCGTTTCAGTGGACCCCGCTGTCCGGTCGTAACAGTGGACCCGATGTCCGGCCGTAACAGTGGACCCCGGTGTCCGGCCGTAGCAGTGGACCCCGGTGTCCGGCCGTAACAGTGGACCCCGGTGTCCGGCCGGCCGTAACAGTAGACCCCGGTGTCCGGCCGTTTCAGTGGACCACGCTGTCCGGCCGTAACAGTGGACCCGATGTCCGGCCGTAACAGTGGACCCCGGTGTCCGGCCGTAACAGTGGACCCCGGTGTCCGGCCGTAGCAGTGGACCCGGTGTCCGGCCGTAACAGTGGACCCCGATGTCCGGCCGGCCGTAACAGTAGACCCCGGTGTCCAGCCCGGCCGTAACAGTGGACCACGGTGTCCGGCCGTAACATTGGACCCCGGTGTCCGGCCGGCCGTAACAGTGGACCCCGGTGTCCGGCCGTAACAGTGGACCCCGGTGTCCAGCCCGGCCGTGACAGTGGACCCTGGTGTCTGTTTTGGGAAAGTGAGAGGGGAGAAGATTCTTTTATAGTCAGAGGTTTTGTAAAAGAACGTCTGGAAAGAGAGGATGAGGGTATATATATAGCCCACTGAGTGACTTTACGTCTGATATACGGGTAACATTTTGTTCGTTGATAAACATGTACATCACAATCTGACAATAGTAACGCCTTCCTGCCATGATACAACACTATCAATGGTCTAGCATGTCACCAATACTAGATATATTTCTGATTACGAATCTAGCAGCCTGGTGATGCTGCGTCCTGGTGATGCTGCGTCTCGATGTGGTTCATGTTTTTTCAGAGATGAAGATCTTCAATACTGAGTTGTCCCTTATTTTTTGGTAGAGAATATATCAAAGTTATGTCTCGGAAAACCAATGGAAACATTAGCACCGTTTGTAATATTACCCCTATGTACTACTTTTCCAGACAAGAGATGATCGTACATAATACTGGCCGTTTGGTATAGTACAGTATAGATTTTTCAGAGTTTATGTACGGAGAGAACTTGTCACTTTCCTGGATGGACCGCCATACTCCATTGTCTATTCAAGTGACATTTTCTGTAGAGGGATGAGACCATTAGTGGAAGTGAGTTACATACTCATAAAGATAAAATAGGTCGGTATTAGACCATTTACCATCTAAGACAACTGTTTGGGATTAATCCATCTGTTAGTTGCACCTGTAGTGTTGTGACGACTTAGCTTGCTGACCTGAGGCGAGTGACCAACCTTATCAAAGGCTTGACTGAAATTTATAATAAGAACATCAGTTTGTCTGTCAGAATCTAGATATTTTGATACATCATCAACAGATTACATTAATCTGAATTCACAGGAATGCTTTTAACAATAGCCATGCTGCAGAGGAGAAAGGATTTGATGTCAGATTATCAGTGGTAGGCTTCAAGACATCAGATACTACAATATGTTTTAGGATTCCCACTGGTGTAACACTATATGTTCCCCACATTTAAATCATAAACTTCTATATATAAATATGTTTTCCATCAAATAACAATATAACAATATATACTTTGCTGAAACAATTTTCTTTTTTCAAAATGTAATAAAAACACTTGTCAACAATGTACCTGTTTATCATATCGTATAATGCCAAGTAACAATTACCTGTGTATCTTATTGTATAATGCCAAGTAACAATGTACCTGTTTATCATATTGTATAATGCCAAGTAACAATGTACCTGTTTATCATATTGTATAATGCCAAGTAACAATTACCTGTGTATCATATTGTATAATGCCAAGTAACAATGTAGCTGTGTATCTTATTGTATAATGCCAAGTAACAATGTACCTGTTTATCATATTGTATAATGCCAAGTAACAATGTACCTGTTTATCATATTGTATAATGCCAAGTAACAATTACCTGTGTATCATATTGTATAATGCCAAGTAACAATGTACCTGTGTATCATATTGCATAATGCCAAGTAACAATGTACCTGTTTATCATATTGTATAATGCCAAGTAACAATGTAGCTGTGTATCTTATTGTATAATGCCAAGTAACAATGTACCTGTGTATCATATTGTATAATGCCAAGTAACAATGTACCTGTTTATCATATTGTATAATGCCAAGTAACATTGTACCTGTGTATCACATTGTATAATGCCAAGTAACAATGTACCTGTTTATCATATTGTATAATGCCAAGTAACAATGTAGCTGTGTATCTTATTGTATAATGCCAAGTAACAATGTAGCTGTTTATCATATTGTATAATGCCAAGTAACATTGTACCTGTGTATCACATTGTATAATGCCAAATAACAATGTACCTGTTTATCACATTGTATAATGCCAAGTAACAATGTAAAGTTATAAAAATGTCACAAGATAATGGTAATAATGAAAAATCAATTAACTAAATGTCTTGTCCAGGCACCTAGCATACAATTTATATCCACTCAGAATGACCAGGTTGTACTGGTAATGGAATAACATGTTCTGTTCCAAACATCATCTAAATGACGGACACATCAAACGATTTAGATATCACGAGCATAAAACATAAAAAAATATGACAATCTGGTTATAAAGTTTCAGAAACAAATTTTTAAATGCTGTTTCCTGGTGTGTGAACTTACAGTTAATTCCGAACATAGAATAAGTCATTGAGTTATCATATGAACTACTAAGGTACATTATGAGATTTTGAGACTTCCTGGTGTACATCTAATGAGTAATTTAAAGTCACATTGTTGTAAAACAATATATCTTTATACTGTTACTTTCTTTATTACTGTATATACATATCACGTGAATCAACTGATGTACAATGATGGTCTATTTCTGCTGAAATATGTATATACAGATTCAATTAATGACCAATGGAAATCTCTCCCTGTTCATCAACAACCTATTTTTGTAAATTTTTTCATTATATGGTAACACCTGCGCACAACACACCACACATTTGTGAACAAGAATGGCTTCCCTCCTGAATCGGTCATGATTGAAAAAATGTTACAGTGTTGGTCATAAAGTAGAAAATGGCCAAATGGGCAGAAGAAAATCCTAGGATTTATTGGTGAATCTTACCAGAGCAGATGGTAACATCTCAGATACGAAAGCAATCAGGTGCATGTATTGTGCTGGATTGACTGCAGACAGACTAAGTGAATCTATATCCCACAATTTGCACAGGAAAGCTTTAAAGATATTCAGGAAATATCTTTAACTTCTTTTGAAGAGACCTAATTGTAATTCCACAACATCTCTATACCCTGGCTCCCTAAAAAGGGGTTTTCCCCTTGAAAATATGATAAATCGCCTAGCAACAATCTGGTAACACACTAATACATAGAGAATACATGGTAAGTGGCTTCAAATATACGCCATATTTTGGTGAGGTTTTTCATCCTGATGATCGAAAATCAGACAATCAAAACTTCAGCAGTTTTGTTGTTAAATTTTTTTTTTTGTGTCGTTGATGTTACACTGAATTTTGCCCGATGATGTACGCAAAAATAATTGCTCCACATAGAAATGTAGTTCCAGACTTCAATGGATATAACAGTGATTTTATGAATTTTCCTGAATAAACTTATTCATTACAACATATAAAATCACTTATTTCAACAGTTATTAAATATTATTAAATGTAATTTTAATGTACACTCTGAAATTAACTCTGACAAATTACCGCAAATGCTAAAATACAACTGTTTTCTGTCACTGCTGAATACAGCAAAATAGTTGTGTATTCCAGCGATGGCGGTGCCAGTTGCCGTATAAATAAATATATCACCACATATAATAACTGCATGGTATAGACAGAATGTAGAATCTTTTCTCAAATTTGACTGAAACTTTGGTATTTAGCTAACTTGGGTAAGGCCTATGATATAACTTGTACCGAAGGCCTTTATAAACAGACTGCATGTCTACAGCATATAAATCCACATTATGAAAGCCTTCCTTCAGACCATACATAGCCAGGTCCAGGATTCGTCTTGTGATAGGGGCCACCGATTTACAGCCCTCATGCAGCTCATGAATATTCATCCACTGACATGCACTTATTTCTTCACTACAAGGTTTGATATCATATGACAAGGGTGTCAAACGACAGATGAAGAAAAAATCTGAGCGCCCAAAGGCCCCTGGCTGGGTGTGTTGTTGTCGGACTGACAACACTGACTGGAACTCTGTAAAAATGAAAACCAAAACAGCTATTGGTGTTCGTACATCTTAATCATTCGGGAAATTTTCATTTGTCATCTCCATGACTACACAATCACCTTCCAGTTGATCTTCATTAGACAACTGCACAAAAGAAGTGCTTGTGAAATGAAGTGAATTACAGTGCCTGTCATATGGCTATCAAATTAACAGCACATTTTGGCAGTACTATAATGTTATGGCCACAAAGGTAGAAAATAATGCAGACTATTGAGATATAGTTCTAATAAAAAAAGTCAGACTGGTAATGTTCTCTATACTGTACACGTCAGTGTAAACATATACCCCAGTAATTAACAGGTCATTTATCAGATAAACCTGACAGTAAAGGCATCCAAACATTCAAAAGTATTCCATGAATTTTTTTCACACTGAAACCATGGTATTAATCCTTTATCCAAGAAGTCAAACAATGTCGAAATATATTTATACATATATGGAATATTTTCTCAGACACAAGCCAATTCAAACTTGTACACTTGACTTTAGTCAAGTCAATTTTCTGAGCAAATCGATCATTTTCCAAATAAGACTGACATTAAAATAAAAAAAAAAATAAATAAATAACAACAAGAGATCCCAGATGGATCTTGGGGCTCACCATTGTTTCATCTTTATTTGTTCTTTAAAAGTTGGATCTTTTACCTTCTTTTCTCTGTTTTTGCTCTCAATTATAAGACATTTGAACATTCCTTTGCAGAATTAGCAATGATAATCTTTACCTGCCAAATACAAAATGGCCACCTGGAAGCCATTTGGTTTCTTCTGATCAGTCCCTAAATCAAACGGGCACAAGAAGAGATCAAAGGAAACATACTTTCCATGTCTAAATCAAGTATGGCTGTCTGTCTGCTATCTTAATTTTCTGATCATTCCCAAACTCTAACAGGCCCAAAAATGGACCAAAAAGAATCTAAACATGAAATATGAGAAAGATCTATAATGCAGTTTTCAAGAAATAGTGATAACAAACTTTTGAAGTCAAAATCTATGATAGCCATCTGTCCGCCAGTTCATTTTTCTGATCAGGATGTTGGCTACATTTCCAACAATTTTTAGCTCAATGGCACCAGTGGGATGGTGAAGAAGCTTTAAATATTTTTTCCAAGATAATGGCCATCTTGCATTTCAGACATATCTGAAATATAACAGCATTTGGTCAGGACCATCTCAGGATCATTTCATGTAAGTTTGAGCTAAATCTCACAGGTCAAACTCGAGAAGAAGTTCGAAATGTCAAAACTTTACACACGGCAGACGGCGGATGAAAACGGACAAAGCACAATGACTACATGTCATCATGACCCTTCGAGTCAGATGACGTAAAAATGGAATATTCTATTTATTTATTACAGTATTTCACATCTTTCATTGATGTCAGTAGCGTGAGTTTCCTCAATTTTTTTACACCAGAGTTGTCATTCCTGAAGTCCACATTGCACTTTTTTTGAAAATTAATATTTTCATTGCAAATGTTGTTGTCTAATTGGTCAAAGGCTAATATCAAATCTTGATATTATCACTGAAGTAAAAACATCACTTATGCTTTTCCACATAAATCCTTCAATTTCAATGAAAAAATATGATGCAATATTAAATGGTTCATGAACTACTTTAACCTGTTAATCTCCAACTATCAATATCTTACCTGTTTTTACCCCGGTCTCTTCAAATACCTCTCTCACAGCTGTATCACCTGGAAAAAAAACACATCAGAGATTGATAAGTCTGCACACACAAAGTAAAATTACTGTTGTTTGCATTGCTATATTGTATAACACCAACAAATGTGTGTTTTTACTAAATATTGTCGCATTGATATGTTAGAAAGAAAATTGTTCTCCTGAAGAGATGTAAACATTTATCAAACGCCTAGAGGTCCTCGTCTCTTTTATTCTTTGAATTCTATATTCTTCACATGGATCATAGCAATAAATTCAGATACTGCAGAATTTTTAGGGTTAAAGGGAGGCAATTCAAGCATTACAGCTTAATAGTTTGCCTTGAAGACTGTTTATGATATCTTATATGCAAAAACTATTCGAGATGAAAAAAGGAAAGTGACATAAATTTGATTTTTTCAAACAAACCTTGAGGTAATTTCTATAAACTGTAAAGCATACACTCTGATCAAAATCCATCAAAGCATGAAATAGTAAAGGTACACATGTAACTGATTTACCTATATCTTCACCTAACTCGGACAATCCACCAGCAAACTTCCAGAAGGAAAACTATAATAAAAAGAACAGGATTTATTGTGTATAATGCTATGTTGTATTGAAAGTGCATATAACATTAAAATGTAGTCAAAATGACCTGTCAATTTAATGATCACCTTAGTCTATGCACTTAACCTATCTTTCAGCTGACACTTTACAGAAGGTTATAGAGTATAGTTTTTAGAAAGTTGAATTTCCATTTGGTTGAGCAATGTGGCACTGTAGTATAAGTACAAACTAACTAATTCAAAGTAAATTTGTCCATAACTTGCTTTAAACTCACTTTTCTGTCTCTATCCTTCACTACCAAAACTGACTGGGTATCTTCGCGGAACACAAATCCTGAAATAAAATGGAAAATTTGAATAAATTTACCAATATGATCAAGGTTAAATGTGAGGAAGCTAACAGCAAATTGTTCTTAAAAATACTGCTGATTTATTTTTCTCCCCATGGAAAATGTTGAACAGAATGCAAATATAAGACAGCAAGTATTGAATATTTGAAAGTAATTGACCAAGAAAAAATTCATGTGTACCCATCTGTGCACCCATCTACATGTAGAACTGAGAATGTAACAGAATCCTTTCAATAAGATGACAATGCTGGAAATATCTCACCAGATTTAAACAACTGGAAGTCAATTTTGAAAAAAAGATTTCTTACCATGTTTTAAATTTCATTAGCCAAAAAGCAAAGTAGTGCACTGAACAGTTCACTGAGAATGTTTGATTTTGTACTTTTAATCAAGAACACAATACAGTTACAAGCATGCTAGAAGAATAAATTTGGTACACTGTGATATTACATGGTCATTAAGTAGAACTGTTTCCAGTAAACAATATCTGCAAATTACACAAATCATAAAAAAAATCCTATGAAATCTCACAATAAGGCAAAACTATTTTTGCTGATCTGTTCACATCCATAGACATTGAACACTTCTTTTCACTGTCATCATAGTTGAGTTTACTCCTTATGAATTTTGTTCAACCCACCTTTGAAAAACAAAGACATTTCATTGGCATATCAAGTATTTTGTATTCTTACTCTGGTACATATGTGTTACTTTTTTGTGTTACAAAAATGTTTTTAAATCTGATATATTTTGGTAAGTTTCAGCTGAGTAGTATGAAAGACCAATAGTGTACCTGCTACTCCAACCTGATGTGTGGCAAAGCGTGGAGTTTTATCTTCACTACTTTCCTTCATCCATAGCTTCAGATGGCAGCTGTTTCCCTCAGCATGATGGAATTGGAAGCCAAGTCTAGCAGCAATAGGTATAAATCTTCCGTACTGAATGGGAACTTTTAACCATGCCGCAGTGATTTTCTCTGTTTTCCATATCTGAAGGGAATCTGAATTAAAAAAAAAAAAAATAAATCTTAACAATATTGTTATAACTATGCTCACCTAGCTATTTTTTTCAATTTTTCGTTAGACAAAACTTTTGTCACCTTTAACCATGCCCTACTGATTTTCTGTTTTCCCTATCTGAAGAGATTCTGAGCAAAAAAACAAATCAAAATAAATCTTACAATATTCTTATAACTATGCTCCCCTAGCTATTTTTTTTTCAATTTTTCATTCGACAAAACTTTTGTCACCTTAAACCAAAATCTGATTAGAAAAAAAATCCAAAATGGACCATTATAAATTTTTCCTTTTTTGAAATTCAGTATACTACACTTTTTCCTAAGAACAGCAAAAGTCATTTCAAAATTGTTGAAGAGTTCATTCACTGAAAGATATACAATGTTCATGTCAATACATAACAGAACATTCTTAAAATATGTATGCGAGATGAAGAGGAAAATTAAAACAAAAAAGAAGATCACACAGATTATACAGTGATTTCTAAGGCACAAATATCTCAGTCCTGGACTCATGCTTTTCATGTTGGACTCCTTCAAATTTTGAGATGAGAACCAACTATATCTCTTTGTAACTTGACACATCAAAATTTAGAAATGGTGCTCTGGACTCACCAGAGAAATATATACACTGTTTTACAGTAATGAAGTTGTTACCAATATTATCTACTTGTTTCACCTACAAGTATATTGTCTACATATTATTTTTGATATTGAGTATGAATTTATAAATCCTACTCTGTCATTGGAATTTTGATTAAATGAAGATTTCCAAAAACAATTGTTTTGTTATAACTTTGAGATTGCATCTAGAAAAATATTTTATGCTTTTACAATGCAAATGGATTAGTGTTAAAGGTACTGAAGCAATTTGCTATCTGATGAAGATATCAGCGATAAGTAAGTTTTTTGTATTTCCTGTTCTCTAAGAGTGAGACATTTTATCAAAATTAACGAAAACATCACAGAAGCCAGTGGTATAGTGCCTGTCTTTTCATAGGTCTCTATCAGTCATCACAACCAGTGGGAGGACTAATAATGTTTTGCTACCAGTCACTGTGTGAAAAATCAGGACTATCTTAAGTTCCAGTTTTTATGAAAACATCACCATATTTTCCAATTCTGCTACCATAAACTTTAAAAGAATATGTCTGGGTTAAACATACTGTGTAACAAATCAAGAAAATCTTTGTCTGGTAAAGATTCAGGCACCTGCTTTACATCCACTGTGATTCCATTGAAGCGGTCTGTTTCACCCATCAACGAGGACAAGGGGCGTAAAGGAGGATGTCTTAACTTCCAGCATCTCTGGCAGATTGCTCGTCTCCACAGCGCAGCTAGCCCAGACATATCAGACCTCCAAGTGACATAACAAAGAATAGTTGATTAAATGAATCTTATCAACTCTACATGTATGTTATGAGGGCAATGATACCTCTACTGAAAGTTTCAAACAAAACTTGTTGAGTGCATAACTATAAAAATATTTTCTGGAGTGTTGTGATAACTGCTTAATACAGTGTACACATCTATAATAAGTTTAGCAGAGGTTTCGCTAGTTGCTAATGCCGTAAATGTAAATGTAACTCTGCCATTTGGGACTGATATGAAAAATTTTATAACCGAACCTTTCATTTCACGGCATATCCCATTGTAAATAACCAGGTATAAAGTACGAAGTGAAATGAGAAATCTGATTTTAATTAAATTTGCACACATTAACTTAGACAGACCCTTCTGTTATGTCACTGGTCTTCTGTTTCTTTATATGTAACACATTGTTTGTATATGGTTTTGAAGTTTACATTGCATCTTGGCATTTTCAAGTTTGTTTGATGGACACATGACAAAGTCTAGGGATAAGATGGGAGATTTTGTAAACAAAGTAAATCTAATGACATCGGTATAAAAACTAAGGGTAGAAAAACATGATGATCTCTCAGCAGAGGTATAAACACAGATATCTGTATTATTGACTTCAAGCCACTTTTCATACGATCATGATTATCAGCAATTATGCAAAGCGTAAACAGTCATAATTGAAAAAAAAACTACAGAACAGCATTCTTTATAATTAATTTTAATAACATATTTATTCTATAAAAAACTTGTGAAATGGATTGAAGTAATGGTAACAAAATGTTGAAAAACAAATCTCTCCCAAAGTTTTCGTTCTATAACACTCAGGGGAAGATTGAAAGAAAAACAGGCAGAGATTAATTCATGTATGTGCATTTTGAAGCGAAAATAAGGTGTACTGTTGTAAAATTGAGTGGTGTAGATGAGTGACAAGTCATCATTATTACAATACTGTCAGACAGACACATCTAAGGATGGAAACGTCCATTTTGCTCTGGAACTGCACTACCGTTGAAACCAAGAGCTGATCATAGGTAGTGGAGAGGTATGAGGCCTTCCGGGTGAAGCTACTCAGAATCCTTGTAACTGTACTTAAACTACAGTGTCATTTCACAACACTACAAGCAGTATACAATCAATCATAATTTGAAAACAAGTAAGGTGAGGTGTGCTTTTCATTTTTTAATTTAATGTACTTATATCAAAGTCTTAAATAAACTGAAAAAAATCGATAAACATCCAATAAAAGCAGAGAAATAAAGGAAAAAACATGGTTTTGAAGACAATTTTGCCACAAAAAGATACCATATTTGATAGTAAAATTGACAATTATTTTAAAATTACCAAAACATAACAAAATTGGGAACAGTTATGCATTATATTATGAAATTCAATTTTACTTATGTTTAATTTCTTAAAAAATCGTCAAAACCTGGATAAGTAGGTAAGTTTGTATGTCTACCTGACCGTTGTAGTAAAAGTTATGTGGTCACATGTGTTTTATGTGTTTATTATGGTGCAAGTATATCTAGCATTAAAATAAAAGTCATATAATCGATTTTATCCCATAAAATCTGAATGGATGGGTTATTTTTAGTATGAAAACGTGTTATTATGTCGGTGAAACTGTCAAAAGTTCTAATTAATCATAGTGCGAACTCTGCAGACAGGTAGATCCAGTGTTGTACTTTTTAAGCATGTAGAAGTAACTTGAGCTGGTATGATTATAACTTTACAAAGCTTAAAACATTATCGTGCAACATTGACAATATTTTTTGTAACACGTTCTGATTGTGTCCTCCTACCTGTTTCACGTCCCCTCTTCCAGTCGTCGTCTGGTGTTTGTTGAAGATTTCTGCGGAAGAAAGATAACTCTTGGATATACACAGAACAGCGGATCGCCGGAGATTTAGGGAGAACACCGCTACACTAGTCCCATAAATGTATATGTAGAGATTTCTAAAGGACATCATTATTTTTGCATGGACAACCTTGTCTGGTAGTTTGTTCTAGTCAATCACAATGTAGCCCACTGTATGTATATATGCATATGTACCGCCTATAACCAGTATAAAATGTTAGTAACCGAAATAACAAAATGTATTTACATCTGCCACACCCCTCCCCTCCTCAGAAAAAATAGGTTCTAGGTATTTGGTTTTTAACAACAATAATATATTATTATAACATCACAGCTAGGCGTGCAATAATAATTACAATGTGATGATTTAGTAAAAAGTAAAACATTTTAATATCAGTTTATCAAGGATTTCAAAGAATATATTCAGAAACTTGAACAAATATTCATAAACTTAACGCGAATTATAACTTGTAACAAGAAAACAACATTGTTAAATATATGTTTATAAATGACAACAACAGGAACAAATTAATAGAATAAACACTAACAATTTGCATAGGTGATTGTTACTGGTACATGTAATTTACAGAAATTTTGTAAAAAAATCCTCATACTGCAGAAAAATCCGACGGCACTCTGGCCTTCTCTTGGTGCCGGAAGTGAGTTTCGTCACCTCGGAGGCGCGTCCAGATTTGTCAAAATGTAAACATCCCCACACTGAAAAATATCCTTCACTAGTATAGTAATCCGAGTTGCACTTTCCTCTGCCTCGCGTCTCTCACGAATTTCCTCTGCCTTCCTCTTCTTGCCCCGACCGGATCAATATAATTTTCATTTGGTAGCTCCAGCTTTCTTGTCCTAGTGGTTAGGTCCGGTGCAGTGTCACGCGTTCCATGCGCCCATAACAGGTGCTACCGCAACTTGGCACAACACATAGGAAGCTGTGCATCCCTCTTGGTTTTACACATGCCTCCTAAATGTGGGTTGGTGGCTTCTCCACCAATGTGACTGGAGAGCTGCGTACCAATGTTGTACATTCTTCCTCGTCTACATGAATGTCGAGGATGTCCATTTTCAATAATACCAGGCCCCATTTGTATAAAACATCTCAACTTGAGATTTCCTCAAGTCGAGATTTTCCTCAGCTAATGTCTCCTTGAAAATATCTTGTATGAAAATTCCTCAAGGAATTTCAGGACATCCTAGCCGATGACCTCCTCCTGTTCCTTGAGAAAATTTTATACAAGCCGTTTTTTAGGAGATATCAGCAGAGGAAAATCTCGACTTGAGGAAATCTCAAGTTGAGATGTTTTATACAAGTGGGGCCTGGTTTTCTCAAGGAACAGGAGGAAGGCATCGGCTAGGATGTCCTGAAATTCCTGAGAAATAACGCTAAGCCATCTGGTCTACATTTCCTCAGGACCTTTGAAATTATTCAACCATAATAGCGAAGCGTGGACGTTCCGTATGAGGAATTTTCAGGAAAGGACAATTGCCAGTAACTCGGTATGTAGTGAAGTAGTTCCGTATTCTTCTCTGTGGTGTATGACAAGGCTGGAGCTCTGCAGAGAAGGTCTTTAAGCTGCCTGAAGGCTGACTCTCATTTTCCATCCCTTTCCGTGTCAATTGAGCATGAATGAATTTCCTATCGTAGCTGGCTAAACCTAAGAACAAACGAACATCTGTTAGACTGGCAGGGGGTAGGCCACATTCATACAGTCTGAACTTTCTGAGGATCGTATTTCACACCCCCTATGGATACCACATGACCCAAGTACGTAACTTCATGTTGGTATAAATTGCATTTCTTTGGTTTCAACTTGATACATGGAAACACTGGAGGACTGCTCTGAGGTTACAAAATGCCACAGAAAATGTGCTGCCAAAGACGATTATGTCGTCCAGATATCATAAGCATTTTGTTTATGTAATACCTCCTAAGACCATTTGAGAACGTTACATAAGCCAAACAGTATAACGTTGAACTCGTATAAGCCTTTATGTTTTTTCTTACTGAATAGAAGAAAGCATTAAAATGCGAGCTGTTTAAAAGTTCTGTGAGTACTTATGGCATGTCGTGTCTGAAAAAGGCATTGCGACAGACCCAGAAAAATTTCCATAGTGAAAGATTGGCCACGTCCAAGGAACATAAAGAAGCTTCATCAATTACATGGTTTTAGTAGTTACTGTAGGCGTTTCATTAAGTAAGGTCATTACCTTACCAAGAAAAGTAAGACTGCAACGTCTGAAACTAGATCTATGATCAAGAGATAAAGCTGAATAGTTGTGGGAAGAACCCATGCAGACAGTTTCCGATACCCAAAATGAGAAGCTGTTGAGCCTTGTTGCCTATGCCGATTATACTAAAACGTTCATCTTGCACACAGACGCCAGTGGCGTTGGCCTAGGAGCGGTCCCATATCAGGAACAAGACGGTGCGGAGAGAGTAATCGCCGCAAAGCATGAATAATATATTGGGAGCCTTTCTTGAGAAAATTGCATTTTTTAAAGGACCATTGTGTCCGATGTCATGTCGATTGATACTTTTGCTAATATGATTCAAGTATATTTTATTGACGTAAATTAGAAGGTATTGGACACAAGTTCTAGCTACATACTAGGCCCTCTTCCGACAAAGTTGTATACAATAAATACAATTTTCACGTGATGACAAAAATATAACGAGCACTCAATAGATTATTGGACAGTAGGGACAGAAAGGAAGAAGAAAATGGAGTGAGACAAATGGTGAAAAGGAGGATAAGAAAGAGATGTCCCGATTGCAATGGTTGTCTGCTAAGTGGTTTCAAATATCTCTGTAGATTTCATGAAGGACAAAAACAGGAAAAATTATATCAATATTTGATTGATACGAAAGATCAGCATTTGCCCAAAGAAGAGTATCAAGATCAGAAATAAGCTGGTTATCAATATTTGAAAGGGAATGTAATAGTTCTGTTCGTACATTTGAAAATTGACACAAAATAGTAGTGGTGCGTATCTTCATTTCCGTCACTACAATGGCAGACCGGCGGTAAACAAATACGAATATATCGTTTTTCAGACCACTGCAGTTATGCCATATTCTCGCTAAAAGAACTGAAAACTATTGATTTCCGATATTCATATA